TACTTACTTCAATCTCTAGACTCCATGTCTTAAAAAGATCATTCCATTACCTCGAAAGTCAAGAATCATTCATTCCTAGTCGAAATCATGTTTGAATTCTTGCACATGATCATGGTTGACATCAACGGATACATTTGTCTACTGTAATACACTCTACTCAAGTCATGAAATTTGTTTAGACATTGAAAGAGTAAAAAACTATGACATCCTTACCTCTTATATGATAGGCTTTTCAAGTGTTGATTCCAGATAAATGAATTTAACATTTACCAACTGATCTTAAATATGAAGATTTTTTTGAATGAAATTATTTCTTATGCAACTCTAGTCAGTTATACTATATTTAGTTAAATGAATGCAATCATTGCTGTATAAAAACACTATGCGACAAAAATTAGACATCAATAGACTTATGTTGTGTGTACAGAGACTTCTTGAAATTAAATACTTATTTAATGTGTCAATTTTTTGCAAAAATTTTAACTTGTGTACAAGCATTGAAAACTTTAAAATTTTAGAAAAAGTTTTATAATATAATTGAAACACACGAGCGATTTTTTTAAAAAAATAGTTGCACAAGCTAAAGGATACGAAATATCTTCTACTTTTGTTACAAACATTATCTTCACTTGGATTGAACACTATATATATTCTCTCCAAAAACAATTGTTATAATATGTCTAATGTAACTTTTATGCAATTTTGTTTGAATGAAATTATTCTTTTCAATGTGTATTGCTTGATGCAATACATGGACAAAAATAATAATGTTTTTTTACTTTGCATTCATCTTCTCTATTTATTGTACAAAATTTAAAAAAGGTTTGCCGGTCTATTATAAACAAACATAAAGAAAATAAAATTCAAATCTCAGTTGACAACAGTGCTGAAATACACTGATCAAGATGTATAAGTAATATGATCTAATGCAAATTCTCAGAAATTCTCTGCGAATCACCCTGTCCTAATATGCTGATCAGGTCGAACATGTATGGAATGCACGGCGGTCAATTTGATAGGATTATTTTCAGTAAGACTGCTACATGGTCCGAACTATTAAAATGAGACAACTTATCTTGATTTTCTTCAATGAAGAAATATACAGAGAATAAACATGCGAAAATTTCTCTTTTAATGTTTTCTTGAACGTGCTCATCTGATGATCATCTGATCATATGAAAATCCATAGACTTGATAAAATCGAAATTTGATTGCACTAAAAAACAATAGACACATGATACTCAAAACCATTTCAAGTTGTGAAGGGGAAATGATGTGGATTTTGCAAGGTATATTGATCTTATGAGGAAATTCTATACTATCTTTTTGAATTCATCACATATTCTAATAAAGTAAAATAAGAGTCCACATTAGAGTGGAAAAGATGATTGAACTGGTACGTAATTTTGTATATGTTTACGCTGTCTCTCCATCATTTCAATGCTTTGATTGGTGTGGAAACTATTGTACCACCCTTGATTGCATACAATATTGTAGGTCGGAGTGTATAATTTCATCATACCGTAACAGCTTTATCAATTCTTCACATATAAAGTAGAATGAATGATAAATCTGATTGAAAGGAATAGACTGAAACTCTTCATTGTAATCGCCAATCTATGTATCTCTCCATCGTTGGAAGGTGAAACCTAGAGTATGTATTCCGGCTGACTTGACTTTCCAGGAGAGTAGTGGAAAGAATATTCTGCCAATCTCGTGAATATAGTGTGACCGTGTAAAATAGCATGAAGGTCCTACTCTAGCCATTCACAATGTATGATCTACAAATTAGTTGGAACTTGACCAAGGAATATTCGACCCGAAGATGCAATCCTCAATATATTATTGAGGACAATATTTAATTAATTAAATAGTCGTGCAGTTAAGAAAAAGGGGAATTTGATATTCTACGAGTTGACGATTGCAAGATTGAAGAATGAAGATTGTTGACTCCATATTTTCGGCTCGGGAAGGTCCTGTTCAGCTGTGGATGTAAGACTTTGGTATTGCATGCAATCTCCACAAGCCCCCGAGCATCGCGGCATCCGGCAATACTCTGGCGAAACAACGCCATCGAACAGATCCGAGAAGATCCGTGCACGAATGAGCTCAGCCAATCAAAAGGCTTTGCTCACAAACTTTCTCTGTTGGAATTCTCCAGGCCGACACAGAGATTGTACTGCGTAGATACCGGATGAGGGGAAGCTGAAATCGAAACCATCCATTTTCGATCTTTGTAAATTAAAGGCAGGGACTTCATGAAGAAAGGTCTAATTCACATGACCTGCAGTACCTCATTGTGGCTAGTGAATAAGTTTGACTCGACATGCTAGCAGACCTTTGGAGCAGAGAGTTTTAATGGGTGGGGTTTTCAGCGGAGAGACTTCTCGCAAAAAGCGACCGGAGTGACCAACTTTATTACCCGAGCTTTCCCGGGGTGAAAAATACTTGCATACTCCAAAGCCTTTCCACCAAGAACATAAGCTGTCATAATAGCCCATTGACGGGGCCACTAGAATGCCCATGGCAGACTAGAGGAGTGCACTTTCGGGAGTCTCGAAATTTACGAGGATAATCGGCGACTGGAAAACAGGGTTTGACAACAACGGGCGAAGATTCGGATCGTTCGATACACGTAGTGAGTAAATGGTTAGAGCTCCAGAAAATGGATGGGTTCAGAGAGGGGCGGGAGGAAATCTCGTGCGCTCGAGGAGTAAAGTATTTCTGTTGCAAGAATCTTCTAACCAGAGCCTCTGGCTGTAAGCTGCTTTTTCGAGAGGAAATTGATCATTGCATTCGGAATTTAAACTTCGGTCCTCGTACCAACTGTTCGTACCTTTCCAAAGGTCTGAATCTAGGCACATTTGATTTGGTCCCAGAATGCAGAGGGCGTCAGCAGCTGCTTCTGCCATTCAGTTCGCCCGATGGTTGGAGATCATCATCATTTGGCCACCTTCTCCCCCGACTCACGATGTGTATGTTGAGATAGGGTCAGAAGAAGAAACTTCCAGTTTCTCTCCCTGCCAGTGGACTGAAGAAGAGACTTACTGCAGTTAGCTGCCCGAGTGTGGTTTTGCATGTGCGCCAATGATCCTCCCATGGCTTAAGAGTCAAGGGGGGAGTTCTTGAAAGTCGTAAACTAAGGATGTGCTTGAAAGCTTGCCACGGGCGAGCTGATTAACTCTAATGAGCTTGGGCTCATGCTCGTCGAGGAAATTTGAAGTCTTCGCACCGCAGACGATTTCTCCGTTTTTAAATATTCAAAAAGAGGAAGACTTGGATCACGCGGTTTCTGTACCCTGTACAGAAAAGTGGAACATTTTCCCGTCACATAAAAGAAAGTCAAATTCCTGTAGGAGTTGAATGTTCAGGTGAAAAAGGCTCTTTTGGTTCACAGTGGAGAGATCTGAAAAGAGGAAAATCTAGTATTATATGTTTAACGTACGAAACCTCAGCCACCTTATTGAGCTACCGTACGATATGTGCAGGCCAATATGATGTGAGCCGACTGGATGAGAAGAGGAGCCGCGACTCGGGTGCAGGGGTCGCCATTTGTCCCTCTCTTGTGCTTCCCGGTGACGCTTGTAGACAAGTCTGGTCCCGACTTACAGGTACGATGTCTGATAATACTCGGGCAAGTTGTGGGCAGTAGCGTACGATTACCGCTCCCCCTTAGGAGTGTGATCACAAGTACGTCTAGGTCACTTTTAACTACTACGGCCATGAAGCTTATGCTTTGATACTCCTTCGTTCGCCTCGTATCGCTTGTCATGTCCCGATCCAAGCCAAACTCCACATTCTCGAGTTCCACGGCGGAGTTGCACGCTGTAATCTGCCTCACGGTGGGACACATATACACACATCTACATCCATGTCCGGACTGTTGTGTGCGCTGTACAAGTCTCCGAGAGGAATCGCAGTATGTTCCAAATGATAGAGAATCTTCGGACAAGCGTCGTCCTATGCAATCGAGTTTCTCTCCTCCGTCCTCGTCCTCGTCCTCGTCGTCCTCCTGTATCCCTATTATTCCCATTCCTGTTTGGATGTTGTGCTACATGGCCAACAATATACAAATATGCGCATGAACATCAGGGCCCCTCCTTTCCTTGCCTTACAACGCAGTCATAGACTTTCCTCCTTTGGTCTCATGACGCAACCCGCTCACATGCGAGTTCCCGGAAACTGCCTCCGCACGATCCGATGGATCGGATGAATGGCCAGGCATAGCACCACATTCGGCCCAGCACAATATACTATTGTGTAGGGGCGGGGCAGAGCAGAGCAGGGCAGGGCAGGGCGGAGAATTCTATGCCATGTCCAAAATGTCAAACTCTATGGACGAATAGAACAGTCCTCCTTCCAGAGGATGGGACAGGCGAGTTTGGGTGCAAAATAATTCCGAATGGAGGCTTGAAATCGCAGGAAAAGCTGCCAACGAAACCCGCCCCTCGCAGCTACTTTATCCGAGGAATGTACTATAAATACTGCCATACCCGATTGATTTCATTCGAAATCCTGGAGAAGTGCCGTGAATGGATGGACGGATCGATGGATGGCTAGAAGGGGAGGGAAGGAGGGAGGTAGGGAGGGTAGCTGCGAGAAATTCCTCGGAGCGTAGGACAAATCATAATGGTATACGAAAAGGAATGTACGCTGCACCGTACGTACCTCGGTCGTGCAGAGCGATTCAACGAGAGCTGGAGAATACTCCATACACGTACGAGTACACACCTACCGGAGCATCACGGTACACGGTGAGCCGTCCCGACTGTACTGCATTGCGGTCGGCTCGGCCGCAGTCGGTCGATGAGGCGTGGTCCGCTGCGGTGCGGCGAATGTTTTGTCTGCGCGAGGGAGGAAGAAGGCGCTGCTTACTCGCCAAAGAGCTCGAGTCTCAGCGGCTGCAAGTCTTGGGAGGGCCCACGCGTGTTCTATGGGGTGAGGCTCGTGCCAGACGACTTACTGCCAAGGAAGGATGGAAAGAAGGAAAGCGCAGGAGGGAGGGAAGGCAGGGGAGGATCCTCAGACACAAAAACAAAAACGGGAGGGATTTCAGGAGGGGAGGAAGCAACTGGGGCCCTCCTCTGGATCCCGCAATGGACCCAAGACGGGAGCTGCAGCCGCTGCCTTGTATCGTGCACCGCACGCCTCAGGTTCTACAATAGCCTGATAACTTGGAATGGCGAACGCATTTGCTGATATCAGTTGAGAAGAGGAAACAGAGTAGACTGGCTGTGGCCTCTGGTGTGTTGGACATTTTTGAGGCCAATAAGTGAGCCCAAGAAGACGGGGAGTGGGAAGAAGAAGTCCAGTGGAAGTGAAGTGAGGTGAGGTGAAGAGTGGAGGCCGAGTGCCGAGTTGCCATTACTGCGAGCCCGCTCCGGGCTTTTTGGCTGCCTTCCTGTCTGTTGACTGCGAGCGAGGAGTGATTGAGTGAGTGAGCGACGGAGCGAGTGTGCGTGCGTGCGTGCGTCGAGTCCCTCCTACCTGTAACAATCCCGTTTACTGCTGCTGCTGCTGCTGCCGCTACTACTACTACTACTACTGGCTCAGAGCAAGGAACGGAGCATACATTCTGGGATCATCGGAGGAAGGAAGGAATCTCCGGAAGGTCCGAAAAGCACGACCGCAGTTCTGGGCTGCTCGTAATTAGACGCAGTAACACTTGGGCGTTCAGAACCGTCCCTGATCTTCGGCACGTTCTTTCGATTTATAGCAATCTCGGACGCCGCAGCTTGTTTTGCGGGCTGAATGTTCATGTCGATCCTGTCTCGGGAGGTAATCCTCTTCTGAGCGCTCACTCTTCTCTGGACTTCGTGAGACCACCCCTTCACTGCACTTGAGGTTCGCTTCGATCGTCGTCGTCAGAGCAATCGCAATCTCCTCATGATCCACAGCATCTGTCCCACATAAAATTGCCCATCCCAGCCTCGTCCGCGGACTTCGTACTGAGATGGAATTTATCAGACCCAGCTTCCACCCGACGAGCCCAAATCGTCCCGGAATTCTGGACTGAGCTGACTGTAGACCGCCTGCGTCGTCCGTCTTCTGCTGTCTGCCATCGATCAGTCTGAGAGCAATTTCCTTCACAGAACTCTGTCTGAGAGCCTGTGCGCGCGAGGAGACGATTCTCATTGCCCTGCCAGCCCGCGTTTCAGGACGAGAGCTTCTGAGCCTGCCGAAGAAATTTGTGACATTCTCCGCTCGCTCGTACTGAGCTTGGGAAATGGCAGCTGCGTCCCTCTTCTACGAGGGCTATGACCAGAGGTGGATTCTCGGTCGAGACAAAGGCCCTCCCATCGAGCCCAAGCCGAAGGCGGCCGAAGGCGGCAAGGGCGGTGGTGGAGGGGGAGGAGGAGGAGGAGACAAAGGTGGAGGGGGTGGTGGTGGTGGAGGCGGGGGTGGAGGTGGAGGTGGAGGGGGAGGAGGAGGAGGCGGAGGCAAACAAGGAGGAGGAGGAGGTGGAGGAGGCGGAGGGGTAAGCGTCTCAACTTTTCCCTGCTTTTCCTCTCTCGACGATTTCCGATCGCATTCGCATTCTCATTCTCATTCTCGCATCAATTTGCGCGCACCATCAATCTCTTCTCGATTTTGAGCTGACTGTCCATGTCTATGTGCTCCCATGTCGAAACCGCAGCCTCCCCCACCGATCGAATTGAAAGTGCCACTCTGCTGCGAAGGATGCGTGGAGAAGATGAAGGATGCGTTCACCGACTTGGATGGTGAGACGACTCTCACGCACGCACGCACTCACTCACTCACTCACTCGCCCACTCGGTCACGCACGTGGATCGATCGTTGCAAGCTCGCCATCTCTTGCACTTCTTTCGACAGTGAAATCAGAGGCGATTCATCGGCTCGTTGTGCGGTCGACGGATTGTGAGATTTAGGCAGAGGAGTTTTTTGAACTCGGTCGAAATTCCACACTCTGCTGGAAATTTGTCGCCGGATGAGTCAGTCCGGTCGATTAACCATGTTAATCATCTTCCTTCTTGTCGTTGGAACGAGCTGCTCGCTAACATAGAGGAATGGCTGGGTCGGCCGGCGGTGGGTTCAATTTGCAGGAATGGAGTCCGTGAAGGTGGATGAAAATGTGGGCAAGGTGACGATCACCGGGAAGGTGAAACCGGAGGAATGCTTGAAGATGGCCAAGAAGGTGGTGAAGCGGTCGGAGATGTGGCCCAAGAAGAAAGAGGAGGAGAAGAAGGACGGCAAAGGAGGAGGAGGAGGAGGCGGAGGCGGCGGCGGAGACGGAAAGAAAGATGAGAAAAAGAAGTAATGTGAATTGCATGCCGTTGTGCTCCCCCACCACCTGCTCCCTCTCCTCCTCATCCTCCTCCTCCTAATCATCAATCATCGTCATGCTTTTGGATGAAAAAAAAACCAATCAACTTACCTCCTGAATACATACGCACTACGCACTTAAATCTCCCACACAGACTGCGAGGGAGAAGAAGGGTGTAGTGGAATTCCAGCTGGTGCGCAACAGATTGCTGCCTTGCAAGCTCTTGTAGTTTAACCGACCGATTTTGAATTTCCCCCGAGGATCTTGTGTTTTTTCTCGACTCCCACGATCGCGTCCTTCTGTTTTACCGACAGCTCGAGTTGAGAGTGTAGTCCATCATGCTCTAGCTGAGAACGACAGCGCAGAGTTTGGGTCTTGTACATAGACAGACGATGTGAGCAGGAACGGAGTGATTGATTGAATGGAATGGAATCGCCAGTAGCGCTGAGCTGCACCGGCGATGTGATGTGACCACGAGCCGAATTCGAAACTCCCACGGACTTCATCACATCGCTCGAGCGCAAAGATCTATCCGTCTAGTAGTGTGCAGTCCCTGTCCCGGTCGTCTGGGCCGCTGGCCATCGTCCGTCTCGGTTCCAGTGGCACCGAGTCTGTCTTGTGGCTGTACCAGGTGCTGCTCGCAGGGCGGTGGCAGGCAGGCAGGCAGGCAGGCAGAGAGAGAGAGGTAGGCAGAGGGACATTTTGCTAGCGACTGACTGACGAATATATTTTAAGCATTTTATTGATGAATTTTCCGTATTCCGTGTGCCTGGTTGGTCCTCCTGACAGCTGCTGACTCGAAATATCCTCTGTAGGCCCGAAAATTGTGTTCAGGCAGAAGAGATTTCATTCACTGATATAGCGTAGCGCAGCCCCGATGTTGTTCGCCTGTGCGTGGTGTGCTTTGTTTGATGTCACAGCTGTGGGCTCTACTTTCTCCAGCTCTCTCTTTCGTCGAGGTTCAATTTCTGTCTGTCCATCTGCGTCGACTGCCAGACTCCCTTCCTCCCTCCCTCCCAGCTGCACTTTACATGATTGAAGGCAGGCCTGTCTGCACAAAATGCTCAGCTGACCGTTTAGCGCATGCATCTGCGGCTCTTAGGACTTGCAAGGGAGTGGTTAGTGAATCATTGTGTTCCATAGTGGGTGACCTCTTTCTTTGATTGGGCAGTGCAGCAGCACTCATTGCCAAGGACAAGTCCTTGTTCTCTTCTCGATCTCCATCTCTGGACCGGTGGCAGCGACGAGTGTAATGTAGTCTAGTGAGCAGTCTGTGTCTGTTCTTCAGCTTTCTGGCACGGCGCTGCGTGCCTCACAAGCACCTACCTCCAAGTTCTCAGTGCCCCACCCCGTACAGCTCACCTTTGGCTATGACCGAGTCACCTCACCTCCCCTCCCCTCTCCTACATACGACGAAATTCATGTTCCCGACCAAATTCATTTTACTGGCGCAAGCTTAGAAGTACTGCCATCATCGATCCACTGCCCTCAGTCATGTCATTAATCACTTTTCCATTCATCCCTCTCTCGCCCCTTCCCGTAGCTCAGCTTTGCTCTTCGTAGCGAAGTCCAGACAGAACCAATTCGGACGGTAATTCTGAACCGAATCCGATGATGTCAAGTAAAGGTTAGCTGAGATTATCCATACGCGGTGCCGGACGATTGATCGATTGGTCAGTAGATCGATCGATGTATAGATGATGATAGATGTTGATCCTTTGAGATGAGATTGCGACGCAAATTGGTACTTCCAGAAGTCGTATTTCGACAACAAATGGAGGTGAAAGAACTGTGAGCTCGCACTGGCACGGACACCGTATGCTCATCTCAAACAGGGCGTATGGAATGGGAGGTATGCCTCGCTCGCAGGGTTTCTTACAACTCTGTACCGTAACCAAACATAGTCTCCTGAACTCGACCTTGTTCAGCAGCCGGGCCCTGGGTAGACTGATTTCTTGGGTTTAGGAGAGGCCCAAGGCCCATTCCTGTTTGCTTCCTTCAATATCTCAACCCGTGAGTTCCAATTACGATTGGCATCCATGAATCGGGTCGTTTCTACTGATGCAGCGAATCGGTGGAAATGTTTCAGAGAGAGAGAGAGAGTGATTCCGTACGGAGCCCTGTGATCATATGACGATGGATCAATCGATGAGATCCTAAACCGGAGGGTCAGGAAGGCAGAGGAATTAGCAGTCTTGAGATTCGTCAATTTCCATCGCTTACTGCGGCCCCTGAAGATATTAAGTGCGATCAGAGCCACGCACTCACGTCGACCGGTCGTGGTGTGTAGGCTCAGGTACAGTTATAATAGTATCCCCCTCGACCACATGCATGTGAACGGCGAGGCCACATCCATACTTCGATTCTCGAAACTGTTAGATTCACGATTGTACGGTCGAGCTCCGTCAATCTCCACACCGACCGACCGACCGACCGACCGCCCCCTTGCTTGCCCCTGCCTCCCTCCTTACCGAACGGAGCTCAAACTATACTCACTGTACTGTGGTGGCACTCATTGGCCTTCGTCCTTCGTCCTTCGTCTACCGGAGTGACAAAAGGAGGGCCTCCAAAAGTAGCCAGCTGCTCGATCTATGGATCAGAATTCAGTTGGCCCCACCTCAGAGCCCTGTGTGTATTTTCAACGCTTCTTCCCAAGTCTTAGGCCTCTGCTCGCCTCGGGTCGCCTCGGCTGAGCTGGGATCCAAATCACATTCTGTAATTCGAGGTCAGCGCGAGCGAGTCCGGGTAAAGTAAAAATCTCTCGCTCGTCGTCGTCTGCGAGAACTTTTGTTTCATGACCTGGTATGCACCTCTGGTCCGACCTCCAGCTCTACGGGGGCTGCCCTCCCTCGGGTCGACGACCAGTACGCTGCTTTTTTGAAAGTGACAGGTTTCGTTTCTCTGGGCGGAAGATATGGTGGCCATTTTTTCCGCGGTCTAGTTTCGCTTTAATCTGCTCTGCTCTGTTCTGCCCTGCTTTCCTTCGCTGTGCCGGGGCTGGGCGACGAAACGAATCTTGCTCCGATCTTGCAGTTGATCGGCGGTTCCGTTTAATCTCTTCTGCGGTGGGAAACGGGGTCATTACTGTACTTTCTTTGCCGCCGTTTCTGCAGGCAGGTCTTGGCCTGAGGCATGAGTCTAATCGGGAGAGCTGAGAGTGGTGGATGGACGGGTGCTCGGAAGGAACGAGGGTGTCGAGAGACTGGGAGTGATGCCGAATGAATGGTCATGATGCCAGTGACATCCTCGCCCTGTCATGAGCCACCAGAGATGTGCGAATAATCGTCGGCAATGTTTGTCGTAACAGAACCATGTCGAGAGCATTTATTACTCGAGTTTCGCAATTCATTATGATGCAGTGCGTAGGAGATTCTCGGAAGGATGATCCAACAGATTTGTAGAGCAGATCTTTGTGACGGTAAACAGACCTGACGCAATGATGATCCTCGTCCTCGTCCTCCTGCTCCTCTCCTTCTTCCTCCTCCTCCACGAGGTCTATGGGGCCTGGCCACCTGGATCTTTCGCATCGACCCACTGTGCCCGACCTTATTTGTTCGGTTTCCGTAACGATACCCGTAGCTACCGATTGGAAGTACTACAGGCGATTTCATGCCACTGATGAGGTCGGAAGTTTTTTGAGAACTGAATTTCCAATGACTCAACACCATGAATAGAGTGCCCGAGGAAAGTGTTCTTTCAGTCCTTCATGCCCATTTCCCCTTTCATACTTCCCGCTCGCTCGCCAATCAGGTAGGCAAGGAACGAGCTCATAAATGTCTGGTTATTTTTCTGCAGGAAAGCTCTCGCCTTAAGTGTGAAGTGTAGACGAGCGTTTGAGCTAGCTCCTTCCTCGTGATATCTCGTTGACATGTCTCCTTTTGCCTTTAACTTTGGCTTAAACCTTTGCAGTATTTTCTGCACTATGATGAATTGTCCCAAAGCTGCAAAGTTTTCAAGGTAGTATTCTACTTCTCACTGGCCTTTTGTCCACAAAGTGCTATCGTGGTTCCGGAGCCAGATCCAGTCCATCACCAGGTTTTATGCAATTGAAAACGCTTGGAAAGATACTGGTGCAGTAAAACACCATTCTTACCCATTCATGTCTGGAAAGCTACTCCAGACATTAACTACCTTTCGTTCTTCTCTACAGCTGGATCATGAAAAGGAGAGGAGGGCGGGGAGTGTGCCCAACCCCAACCCCATCTCCACAGCTGTTACCTCTCTCACTAACCAGCTGAGACCAATCTCTCGTTAGACAGATCCTTTTCTTCACTCAGTCCTGACCCCATGGCAGGCAGGCAGGCACACCCTGGGGGGTTTCTACGCTCTAAGGGGTGGAGTGAGTCTGTTTCACGGAAAAGAAAGTTTCACGGCCTTTACAACAGTAATCTGGCCGCGTGCCAGGGCATTCTTTTCAGAAAGATTTTGATTCCTTCTAACTCGCAGGAAGTAGCGGAGAAGTTGTACGAAGTGGCTCCTTCGCGAACTTTAGCAACTGATCTTCTTTCCGAGGGCTTTCCTGTTTCAGACTCACTTTATAAACGAGTAGTACGATGATTGATAGTACAGTAATAATCTTAGCTCCGAGCCTATCCCATAGGTGGTAATTTTGTAAGATATTGCCTCGTCTGATCGATATAATCCAATCTAATCTGATCTGATCTCAATTGGGATGTGTTGACGGAGCGACGAATACTCTGTTGGTCTCGTAGTGCAAACGCTTTCTCGAGGTGTCTCGGAGATTTTGGCGGACTTAAAAAACTGCTTTTCTCGATAAAATATTGGCTTCCATCAACATCTTTCACTGACCGTTCTGTTCTACAGAGGCTAGTTTTGTGTGTCGACTTTCATGTGGGCCGATCCTTACACGTGTTAGAAACATTATACTGGGTACGAGAGGAAGCCGATCGTCTTGTGGAAGTCAGACCGTTCAGATTCAGTGGATAAATCGAGTCATTCTGGGGGGTTTCCCTCTAGAGTACAGGTAATGTGTTGAGCCTGCACATCACCACAGCGTAGGCCGCACTTCGCAGAGCTGGTGGGTATTTACCATTGCATTTGACTACTGGGACTACGAATCGTTAGATCATCTCTCAAACTTGTACTTAACTGCTTATTTTGAGAAACGGTTCATGAACGGGGGACGAAGTCTCTGGTTTCTCATTTGGAGATGATTAAGCTGGCTGACTAGTATTGGCTGTCTTGTTCGAGCGGGACTTCTCCGGGGGTAGCTCAAACAACCAGAGGGGGAAAATAATGTTGATTGACTACTGTCTGATGCTGGGCCTAGCCGGATGATAGGTTCCCTGATCGCGAATATTGTGCGTGGCTGTCTGACAAGGCACAGGTCTGGGTTTGTCTCATAGAGATCGATCTGGGCGGGAGGTAGTTGCCTTTGACGGCCGTGAACATTGGCAAACGATATATCGATCGAATCGAGATTCAGCAGTCTCTGCGTTCGCGCAATTTGAATTTCATGACTCTCCTGCCTCGCCATTTCACGGAGTTTTGTGTCAAAGACATGAACTAATGACTGAAGGTTACGATCACGGTAGTCCGTGCAATCTGCAGTGCCATCGGGACAATCAGGTTGGATGTCTGACGATTAGGTTTGCAGCGTGTTATCCTTAGACCTCAGTATGTTGTCCTGACGAATTCCGGTCGGTTATTTGCTTGATCCGACATCTTCAACCAGAAAATGCTCTGTGAACCTGAAATCGGATATGGAGGCCACATTCGCATATGTTCTAAGTTGTATCTGGGTCCTGATCATAAGATCTAAGATCCGTTTTGGGTGTGACTTAGACTACCCTCGAAATTAACATCAGATGGCTAACCATCCCAATCAGGTTCTATCGAATTACATGTAGATGGTTCAGGTGCAAGCCTCTTGTGCTGTGCAGTGACACATTCTGAGCTGATTGAAGTTGATCACGGAGAATTCCGAAGCCTAGAAGTGTGTGGTCTTCTTGAACAAACATCCGCAGCTCATAGTTCATTGTCGTACATAAGCTCACACTCTCATGTACATTTCTGAAACGGAATCATCCTATACACTGCTGCCCGTTCTAGGATCGAATTAGAGTGTAGCGATATGCACGCTGTATTGTTACCTGTCGATAATGCAGTGCAGATTAAGTTCACTCTGCGCACGTGAATGCATGAAATTCAATGCAATGTTTCCTGTCATCAGTTTGTTACATCTTCTACTTCTGTATCCACACTAGTATGCAGTTTATTCCCGCAAGTTACACTAGTGTGATATAATTCCTGCAGAAAATTTTACTGAGTCCACTCCTGTGAGGACATTGAATGATTTCACCTTTCACCTTTCTGATTCTATGTATTGTATGTCCGCAGTGGTGGGGGTGGCGGTGGAGGGGGAGGTGGTGGCGGTGGAGGTGGTGGAGGTAAAGGAGGTGGTGGTGGTGGAGGAGGAGGAGGAGGAGGAGGTGGCGGAGGTGGTGGAGGAGAAAAACCACCAGCAGCAGCAGGGGGTGGTGGAGGTGGAGGTGGAGGTGGAGGAGGTGGAGGTGGAGGTGGTGGTGCACCGAAGAAAGAAGAGGTGAGATATTACGGCAGCAATGCCTGAAACTAAACCAGTAGACTTTTTTAAATTTTCATGCTTGTACACAGCTTGAATTCTCTACTCTCGTTCCAGCGTTTTCACTAAACTCTGCAAGTTCATCGTGCTCACAGGGTCCAACTTCCGTTGAGTTGAAGGTGACCGTATGCTGTGAGGGGTGTGCTAACAAGCTTTTCTCCGCAATCAAAGGCATCGACGGTAATCTACCTTCCTTAGACTTTCTCTTTCCCCCTTGAAAGTTGATCAAGTTACGTCTAGGCCTAGGTTATCGTGCCTAATGTTGACCTCCTGATACAGTACTTTATTATCTAAGTTTAGCTCGGTCTACCACTATACAATACACAAGTTTGTATCGTTTAGGACACTAAACAGCTTTTGAACTGTACGTGAACTGAACTAGCCTACACGTTCGCAGATGTGACGGATGTACACATCAGCCAAAGCAAAATCGTCGTGAAGGGAAAGGCAAAACCAGAGAAAATTCTGAGAGTCGCACAGAAGATCAAGCCTGCTGCAGAGCTGATTCCCCCACCGAAGAAGAAGTAGTGATGAAGTGGCCGATGGACCTCATTTCATATTCTGACCTCTCTGCAGATCATATACGTACAGTCCTACTTTTTGTAGCATAACTCCAGATTACGAGATGGCTTCATTCGATTTGGATGATACTTACCGTAACCTCTGCGAAGAATTCTCCTCAATCTTATGTACAACTGAGTAATTTTTTTCCCTTGCGGCTCCCCTGGCAGATTATTAGTGTCACCGAGGATATAGTAGATTGTTCTAGTTACAGCGGGATACTTATCATAACCAAAAGCATCTACCCTGTTATCGGGAGGCTCAAATTGATTCCTCGCATTATGCTCCCACCTATATAAAGTTTTTTTGATCTGTTCGCTCCGATGCATATGCTTCGACTACAAGTTCATTGTAATGGGATTATGTCTTATCTCTTGCACTATATCTTTGTGGCAATTGTATGCTCGACTTGGAGTAGGGACTGCTTTGATGTGAGCTCAGTTGGCTTGTTCGTTCAAACTCTCCGGTCCAATCTCACCGTGAGTACAATCGTTGTTATTGTACTTGCTGTAAGCTTTAGTCGCGTACTCGTGACATATGCAAGCTACTGGGGGTATTGGAGTTAAATCTCACTCTGATGTGCAATGATCACTGCGAAGTCACAGGTTATGTCTTGGAGTAACCAAAACGTACAGATTCCGTTAGTATATGTGGATATCAGCAATAAACTGGAAATGCCTAGGGCAAAATGTCCTGTGCAGATGCTGCTGCCAGGCGCATCTCAAAACAAAAAAGCTTAATGCCTCTTCTTTTACAACGAGGCAGAGTTTGATATGTGGTGTTCCTGTTATTCGTCACAGAATGTTTACTACTATCCTGCTGGTCTGAGAGACCTGTCTCCAGATCTGTTATATGCCGGTGCATATGACTGGCACAGTCCTTACAAGTATCATAGTCCACCGAAGTTTCTTTTTGTGCTCCCTGCAACTTCGTCTCTTTGCCTGCTGTATTTTAACGAGATGTACTTCCTTTTGTAGATAGAGAAACGAGCTGTTAGCATAAGTACAGACTCCGGGACCACCTTGTTCACAAAATATCCACACGAATGACCGCGTGAGAAATACTCACACGTACTGCTATCTGCTCGAGTTCGTTTTACAGAAGTAGGTGTTATGTGAAAGATTAAACAATTTCACTTGGCAACCTAGTGGAACAAAGCGCACATGTACCAAAGAGCAATCAGAGCCGGACATTTCAGGTAATTGTGGTATCATTTCATGTAATGCAGTACACAAACTCAGATTTTATAGTATGATCATTTTCCCACCAATTATCAGTTGCTTGACGTAACGACCCAGGATTTTAATTGTTTACCTCTCATATGGAATTAAGATTGAGGATATATTTTATTCATACATATATGTTGAAATTTTACACAGTGAATAAAAGGTTCTTTCAAGTTGCTGTAAGTCACTTTTTTTTTGAATTATTTAAATTTTGTGGTTTTTATGATGCTATTCACAAATATCAAGTTTCAGCAAAAGATTATGGGTCATAATCTATTGTCACATACATATCACATTTGTCATAATTTATGACAAATGTGATATAGATGTGGTTGATGTACATTATAGCCATATTTCAATTTTTTCTCATCACACTGAACAGATTTTTCGTATCAACAATGTTGCATCTGTGTACGAGATTGTGCGTTAATTTTCTCTGTTTACTCTTCTTCATTGTTTACTCAGTAATTACACAATCGAAATATTGTAGGCTTTGTTGCTTATCACTGCAGCATAATTTTCCGGCTTTGCCATGTAACGTCGTCTGAGCAAGGCTTACTGTTCTGCATAACATTTCAACGACCAGAAAGGCGCGGACCAGGAGAAGGAAGTTCTCTTCCGCCTGTACGAATGTTACAGGCGGAAGAGACATTCGTTTGCAGACCCGAGTGAGCAGGAAAATAGAATCAAATAGAATTTTCTCAATTCACAATTCATGCACGTCACAGGAACTGTGACGTGATGCTGAGGATGTTGTACAAGTTTCCAACACTATCCTTTTTGCCGAGACGGTGGGAACATTCCCTCCAGATATGGCACAGAACACTGCAGGGCCTTACTAGTATCTATCTACATGCGTCCTACACAATCACGAAATTGTAGTCGACGGATTGATTGACTGATTTAGCTGCATAGGCTCAGTTCTTAAGCTCGTTGGCCGCATTCTGTGTCTTCCTTGACGCATCGTCGAGGCCAGATTTAGCCTTGCTCGAAGCTTCATCTACTCCCGATTGGGCAGATCTCGAAGCGTCTCTGACGGATCCCTCGGCCTGGCGTGTCGCGTCCTTGAATCCTGACTTCGCTGACGAGGTTGCATCCTCTGCCTTGGACTGAATGTCCTTGCCGGCGTCCTCAGCCTTGCTGCTGGCTTTGTCGACCGTTCCCTTCACATTCTCCTTGGCCTCGTCTGCTTTGCCGGCGGCTTGATCCTACACATGACCGGCATTGACATCAGAACTCGTACACAAAATTTATATCTAACAAAACGTGTATACATCAAATCACGCACGAGAAAGGACCAAATCCTGTTCCAGATTCTTTAGGATGTTAATTCCTCGCTCCTGATACACTGAAGGATTTCGGTTAAATCACAGAGTACTCTGTTTAGGAACCTGAGGAAGAGAGGTACCTTGACGTCCTCGGCCTTGTTGCCCAAGTCCTGGCTAGCGCTCTTTGCCTGGCCGGTGAGGTCGCTGGCCTTGTCCTTCACGGTCTCCACGGCGTCTTGAGCTGTGTCCTTGACGTTGCTCGCTGCGTCAGAGACGAACTCTCCGACTTTGTTTGCTCCGCTCTTGACATTCTGCGCAGCCTGGTCGGCGGTGGACTTGACTGAGTCGACAATGCCATCGTCCTTAGCTCGGACCACGAACGGGCGGCTGATGGATCGTGAGCGAGGTGCAGCAGCTGTCAATCTCAAATTGCCGAAGCTGGCTGTGGATCCTAATCTAGCACTGCTGCTGCTGGAGCTAGACCCAGTACGTGTCTCCCTGAAGACGGGGGCGACACTCCCCACGAGAGCGACCGAGGCACTGACGGCGGCCATTTCCCTTTCTAGCTGAGTGAGTCTGGAATCGAGCTAATAGGCGAGAATAAAATCTGAGCTGATCTGAGCTGATACTGAGCTGCTGACTGAATTGCAGGATGACGCGAGTGAGCAGATGCTTTGAGGAGGACGCGAATGCTGATGATTCTTATTCGCATCCCGCAGCGTTTTATATACCGCCCGGCCATACAGTGGACGACGATGCACGTGTCCATGTCAAAATCGTCGTAGCCATGCATCGATGTAGTGTGGTTGTCGAGGTCCCACACGATCCGCCGCCTCGGTACGTCGGTTACATATGGCGAGAACAGAGAAGCATGTGAACTGGCTGCATGGACACGTGTCCTCCCTCCGCCAAGGAGCCACTCCTTCCATGGAATGGAATCCATTTCGGACTCATGCCTGAGAGGACCAGCATATCTGATACCCCTGAGAGGACGACGGAGGAGTCTATACCTGCGTTGGCTTCGTAGACAGACCATGTTCTGTATCTGCTTAATCCTGTTTAGAGTCTCTGCCAAGCATTCTTCTGCTGTCGTCTCCAGAATTACGTCCGGCCCTCGGCGTCGTTTTCAGCATGAGGAGCTCAACTGCCACTCCCGACTACAGACAGTCTTCGATTGGCTGCATTATACTGGAGCCATCGTTCGTGTGCTCGAGGCTGATTGAATATGCGAGGCCAACAGCATCAAAGCCGCTTCCCTATAATCTCGTTCCAAACCACCCTACAATTCTCTGCTTGGTTACAGTTGAATCAGAACCTTCAATGGTTCCGATTAGAATCAGAACCATCGGAGGTTCTGATTTGACTCTGCATTCAGCTCTCGTCCAGTTCAGTTAGTAAGTTAATCAGAACGAGAAATGTAACACGTACTGGATTGTCCATCTAACCAACCGGCTCGTACGTTTTAGCTAAGCAAGTTCCACGTAGTTCCATAGGTACGGGTACGTTCGAGTATCGTTCTCGTATACTTAGGGTCTGGTCTACACCATGGTTGTAATAATCATGATCAATTACACTACGCTTGTCTTCTTGTTCCAGCGTTGATAACCGCCAGTACTGAAGCTTTCCATTCTCGGAAACCGCTCACATAATTACAACTTGATATGTCAATTTCCACATCTTTCCATCGTACGTACCTACGATGGAAAGTATCTGAGGTACGACACTATGAATATGACTGTTGATAAAGGTAACAGCAATTTTATGGAAAAGTATGTGTAACATCGTCTTTGTGAATTCTCTGAATTTTGTGACTGAAAGACTTGGGCAAGTTGCAGAGAACGAACATAAATGATTTTTTCTTCAGCTACTGATGATCATGCACATGCAAATTATAATTGAGATAGAATGTATGGAGTGTACTTGGTAAACATGTTTTCATTGTTCGCATGTTTTTCGAAGATTGACTACTTTTTTTAATAAAATTTGCATATATGTATTTATTCTATTTTTAATATTTTGTGAAATATATGTTTTAAATTTTTCTTCATAAATTTGTGAATAATTATGATCATATTCATATTAATTTTCCAATTAATTTTCAATTTTTTTTGCTACAGTGTATAGAATGTATTATCCCGGAATTTTTCTATTTGGATAGCAAGGTATTTGTACTATCATTGAATAACGAACGTAGAATAGAAATTGGCAATATTGTGTTTTCATGGTTCAGGAAAACTTCCACTTTTCATGTTCAGAAGGAAAGTTTGTGTATTGCAAATTCTTGTTAGACTCAGTAAACATGACGATTGTTAAGTGACTATCTTCGGGTCAAATACTTCAGGAAACAGAGTTTATTAATTTCAGGAGTTTGGCATATTGTCATTCCACAACCAACAAATGAGCAATTTTTCTGAAACTTTACCGAAAGGTAGAAGCTTAAGGAGTTTCTGCAGTTAAATTCGAGTGCAATTTATATCACAAGGTATGAGAACAATGTGTACAATTCAAACTCCCATCAGTGTCCAAGACACTTCGGAGAGCTGAACAAGATCTCTTCGGCAGCGGGAATTGTTCCAGCTGCCTTGGACTTACAGTCCGCCGACATAGCTATGTACACTACGTAATTGACACGTCTCTCTGGTCTGAGGGCAGTTCGCGGATCTAGTTCTTCCCCGCCATTTGAAGATCTTTGTGTCTGTCTACCTGGAAGCATTGTCAATTCCGGACTTAGCCTTGCTCGAAGCGTCGTCCAATCCGGACTTGGCCTTGTCCGATGCGTCTCTCACGGATCCTTCAGCTTGCCTGGATGCATCCTTGAAGCCAGACTTGGCAGAAGATGTAGCATCATCGGCTTTTCCCTGGAGATCTTTTCCAACATCTTGAGCTTGGTTGGTGGCTTTGTCAGCTCCCTCCTTGAGACTGTCCTTAGTCTCCTCCACTTTGCTTCCTGCTTGGTTCTGAATGATGACAGATTTTAGAGTTCAGACTAAGTTCCACAAGTCCCGCATACTCAGATCGATGCAAATAATAAACACCTTCTTCGTTAACACTGCCGTTTAAGAAAGCTATATACCGGAAGGTAAAGCGATCGAAGGACCATCTCAGATATTTTCAGAAATCTTGAGATATTAAATATTTCGGTTTGGATTTGACTTCCATCTCTGAAGGTGCATAGCCTTGCAATATGCAGCTTGTTTCATCGAATCCAGTAGGTTCCAGATCGCTTAGACTTTAGAAGAGAATTTTTTCATAAAGGATCGAGAAGTTTACCTTAACGTCCTCGGCTTTGTTGCCCAAGTCCTGGCTCGCGCTCTTGGCCTGCCCCGTGAGGTCACTGGCCTTGTCCTTCACAGTCTCCACAGCATCTTGAGCCCCTTCCTTGATGTTACTGGCGGAGTCAGAGACGAACTCGCCGGCCTTGTTGACACCACTCTTCACATTCTGTGCAGCCTGATCGGCTCCCTCCTTCACCGCATCGACTACGTTGGAGCCATCATCTTTAGCACGGACGACGAACGCTGGCCTCGATAGAGGCGCCGAAACCTTCGTCAAACGGACGCACCTGAGCCTAGAGCTGGATCCCAAGCTCACGGAGCTGGATGAGGAGAAAGCTGCTGCGGACTTGGGTACCGAGCACACAGCTACCGCAGAGAGTAATGAAGAGTTGACGGCCGTCATGGATGCCATTGTAAGCTAGCGGAATGCTCGAATGCCAAGATGGGACAAGTAAGACCGACGAACAAAAATCTAGCGGAAATATGCCGAAGAAGACCAACTTACTGAATGCGAGAAGAGAATGACTGAGTTAGTGCTTAAACTGGAAATCAGACTACGAATTGCAATCGAGAGACAGAGCTGCTTATTATACCCCAAGTCAACGAGTGCTCTGAGCGCACGTGTCGTCTATTGAGGTAACTTCATGCGGAATTTATGCATGATGAATGTGGTCCTTGTGTTTTCCGTAGCAGCCATATATTAGATTGGTCTGAATTGGCTTCTTCCACTTGGCGAAACAGAGAACAGAGAGCAGAATCTGCGACACGTGGTTCTTGAGATCCAATGAGTTGGCTTCAACATGGCTCTTGTCTCAGGCCGAGTAAGGCGGCTTCGAGATAAGGGGCTTATCGTCATGTTTCATGCTGTTCGATTCCGTCGATTCCGTCTAGACGAATGGATCTTGCAGTTGTTCACGACGCGGGTCAGTAACGCCATCGACATCTGGCATTGACAAGATGGCAAGCTCGTTCAGACCGTTTCATGCCTATCACTCGAGGAACGTATGTGAGTGCATTGAAAGAATGCATTCACTCGGTATCGTACGTGACAAACTAACAGAAGTTCTTGAATAAGTGAGTCTGATCTGATTACGCCAGACAATGTGATAAGCGGGCTATCGATTACACCGAGTAGCAACAGTTGGCGACGTAATCCTCCCGATCTTGCATGCTGTAATTTCTTCGAGGTATGTCTTTGGAGCCGTATTTAACGTCCGTGCTTGTGCGTCACCAACGTAAGCAGGAAATCTTGAATAAACCATAGCCGATAACTAATCGCACAATACGCATTGGAACAAGACCTGAGATGAACGCATTCATGTCAAAGTTCGTGTGAAGAAGACAGAAGTTGACTTGTTCGTTGTGTTTCAGGTCCAAGAAACTAACGTCCTCGAATATTACGCCAACCGGAACTCATATGACAAACCACAAGGTCTGAAAAGTGAAAAATGGACTCCTTCGTAAGATACTTAGACGTTCTAATGTAACATAGCTAATGTTTTACTAATAAAATGTTTTTCAACAAAGTAGCAGATTGCTGCAATCAGGTTTTTACTTTTTTTAATATGAAGTTCCACCTTAGCAATACTCCTCAATATACAAAAGGTGATATGGAATATATTCTAAATGTAAGAAATTGCTACAAATATTAATTTTCCATTTAGAGTGATCATTGAATGTATAAATAGTATTACATTTTCATCAATGAAGTTTCACTCTTATATGCATTAAATAACAGAATTCCAAAGTTTGAATACATATTGCGTAAACCCTAAACTTATGTAGAACTCTAAACAAACAACATTTATTATTTTTACGTAATAAATGCTACTTGTATGTAATAATTAACGGTTAAATAAATTTAATTTTTGGAATTCATTGTTTTGCACTAGTTGTATTCTATTTACAAGGCTAATGTAAGTTGAATAGGGAATCAGTATATATTATATAATATATGTTTTTGGTGTTTGGTTATATCTTTATGTAATTAAAGATTTAAGGGGAATTTACTTTTTCATTGTTTGTACTTTGATTGTTTTTACATTACAATTTTTTACTTACAAAAATGAATGTATCTGGAATATACACTGATTGGATTCGAGAATGAAGGATGTAAGAAGAGGGTGGTGTTGGTATAAAGCTTTTCCCCTTTTTGGACTAACTCATAATTTAATATTGATGAGTATATAAATTAATGTACAAAAGTTATATATATATAAATAAATCTGATATTATAGTTGTTTACTATGCGAAAAGATTTTTTCCTCTGTAAAGAAATGTGTCACATGTCATCGTATATTTCACATTCAATGGAAATGGAGTAGATATTCAATCAAAGTAAAACTACCTCTTCATGATTGATTGCATCATAGAATGTACAAAACGTCGCATTACGGACGAATAGTCTACATCGACTGACTCTCTATCAGGAAATTCTCTACACATTATACAGAATCTGGCTATGGCTATTGCACATGTTTCAGGACACCGGCGTTGTCGACAGATTGAGCTTCTCCCTCTAATTCTTGAGGTCGTTGGCGGCCTTCTCTGTCTTCCTGGATGCGTCATCGATACCGGACTTGGCCTTGCTCGAAGCGTCGTCTAATCCTGACTGAGCAGACTTCGAAACATCTCTGACGGATCCCTCTGCTTGCCTCGAAGCGTCCTTAAAGCTCGACTGGGCAGACGACGTAGCATCCTCAGCTTTTCCCTGGAGATCCTTTCCAGCTTCCTGTGCTTTGCTGGTAGCTTTGTCAGTACCCTCCTTGACGCTGTCCTGAAACACAAACAAGTGTACAGCAATCACAATCAGAAAACACCTTCGTTCACTTTCGTAGCCGCCGAGGAATCGACAATGGAAGCGGTCAGCCGCTCCATTTCAGCCTTGAATCGAGATGGATCACATTAGTTCATGGACACACAGTTGCAGCAGAGCCGGATTGTTACAGAACGAGAATAAAAGTATGGTCGGGAATGTACCTTGACGTCTTCAGCCTTGCTTCCGAGATCCTTGCTGGCGCTCTTGGCCTGTCCGGTCAAGTCTCCAGCCTTGTCCTTCACGGTTTCCACGACATTCTGTGCTCCGGACTTGACATTTGAGGCAGCATCTGAGACAACTTCGCCAGCCTTGTTGGCTCCATCCTGAACATTCTTGGCAACCTGATCGGCTCCTTCCTTGACAGAGTCCACGATTCCTGAGCCATCCTCGGCACGGATAGCGAACGGTTGTGTCGATCGGAGTCGTGGTGCGGGGGCAGCCCTCAATCTCAGGCCCCTCAGACTTGCTGACGATCCCAAACTGACGGATGCGGACTTGGGAACAGTGGTCCTGGACACTGAGCTGATGCTTCCTACCTGCAGGGCGGAAGTGGTTGCGGCTGTCATGGATGCCATTTTGTAGGAGAAGAGTGTGCAACGAGCTCTGCACAATCGCGCTGAATACGCAAGGAAAGCCTCACTGACTACGGTAGATAGATTTTGAGCAGTATTAGAGGCGAAGAGCTCAATTTGCGAGAGGAATGGCGAGTGGAGTACAGATGCTCAGTCTCTCTTTGCAGGTTGCTTATATACTGTCTGGCGGGTATAGTCGAATCACGTGTCGAGGCTGAAACCTTATGAAACTCAAAGGCATGCAACGCCGATGTTCGCTGGGCCTCCACGCGTGCCTCGACCAGCTGCCTACATTTGGCAAGTTTGGACTCGACTACAATAAGAGCACCCATACTCCAGTAAGATATCTGCCCTCCAGTTACGATTCATGATTTCGGAGTTGCCAAGATTTTAACCTAGCCGGTGAACTTTTCTAGCGAGGAAGAACGGCGACGCGCGTGCACTTTGGTGACAGAGAGAGACGATGGATTTGTTCTTGGACTTTGTGAGTTTGCAGGGCAATGGCACGAAGACAAGTGTAAGATTCGAGTATAGCCATCTTCATTTGCAGCCCTTTCTAACTATCGTGGCCTGGACGTCAGCACCAATCTGAGCCTGTCAATCATTTTTGGGTCTAAACTTATGCCTTAGAGAACATGACAATTTCGAGGACATGTATTCTAAAAAGTTGATTATTACTATAGGAAATTTTCTTTTGATGAGATGAAGATGTGAGGAAGTCAGATGCATCGAGGAAATCAAAATGAGGGAAAAATATTGAGACAGATGTGCTAATGATAATGTCTATTCATTTATGGAGTCTTGACCTTGCACTTGGAGCAGCCATGGGCCCAACCTCAAAAAATCAAGATTTCCGAAGTGGTATGGGTGAAATCTTTTCAACTGTTGCATGCAAAAAAGGTTTTCATAGATTGCTCGATAATTGGATTGAAGAGAGGACCAAGTTTTTGGCCCCGCTAAGCTTCGGATCAGAATCAGATTGGCAGCGAAGTGAGATTTTGAGACGGGAATATGAATATACTAAAGCCAATTATGGATCATTTGGACGTTTAATTTTTAACCCATCTGAGAATGAAAAGTTGACGCCTTTTATGGACATGATATATTAAACAATAATTTCTCAAACTTAGTTCAGGCTATTCTTTTCCATGACCCTTTCATTGTTCAAATTTGAGCTTCCATTGGGACACTCTAAAGAAACAAAACCTTCTAAGTTTTATTAATTTCTATAATTTATAGAAACAGAAAGAGGGTGAAAATCGAAGTTGTTATCATCTTTATCATTTTTAATAGATACGATCATAACTCTTGATTTTACCTGTATTTAACACTTGACGTGAATTATATTCTGAATTCTTTCTAAACTTCATAAGCAGCAGACTAAGCACTATTTTGCAAGCCTTCAGAACCTCAGATTCCTATTGTAAGATTTTGAAGAACTTTTCAAGGTTGAAAAATTTGTTCAGTTTTCTCAAATTTGCCAGAATGCGACAGGAGGATTCTCACTTCTCTACTCTACCGATCGGAACGTAGCCCCATGTTACCCGCTTGATGTGGGACTCACATCCTTTCGTTAGATTACTTCGTCCCGTTTCAGACATGCTAAAGGGATCATAAGACAGTCGCTGTAAGGTATCTAAACGAAGCAATGTCACTGGAATGCTCTGGAGACTTGTGTTCGATCACTGCAGACAAGGCTCCCACTTATCAAATTGCTGTGAAGTGAAGTTAGAACATTCCGGGACGAGTAATCTTCGGTTACCAACCGGAGGGTCTCGCGGCAAGGGCTCATGACCTTTGTCAACTGCACTCGATATTGAAGATCTACGGCTCTTGACGTTATTCCGGCATCTACTAGTTACTTCCACCAATATTCCAGTTCACCTCGCATTCTGACACGTGGTACGTCGCTCAAAGTAGCCAGTTGTAAGCATTTCCCCTCGAGCCACGTGTACAGTTGTCCGAAGTCGAAACATCGAGACCACATACAAGTGCATGTCGTTCCGCCCGGGGGACGTCCAGGCGGACACGTGATACTTGATGACTGAAATTCGGAACTATTCTTCTTTTCAACATGACTCATTCTCAAGACGATTAAGGTTGACGAGCAGTCAAATCAATTCTCGTCTCTAGCAGTGGTCAAGTCTTAATTTTTACTTTGAAGCAGAATGTCAGATATGGCTACTCTTACTCACAAGAGTGGGCTGTGCAGGCAGGCAGCTCGTTGTCTTCGTCTCTGCGTCTGGAGTCCATCGTGCTCTCTTCGCCTCGGATCTAGCTTTTAGCTTATGTACCACCCTGGGTTTGACGAAGATGCCTGCACCTCATCAAGCCCGCTCCATGCTTTCGCAGTTTCGTACCGAGGCAGACCAAACAGTGACATCGTCATGGTCACCGTCAATCTCGGTGCCGAGGCGGACCAAACAGAGAGTTCGTTATGGTTACCATCAAGTTACGTGCCGAAGCGACGACGACAGGGATGATCATAGTCGTCGCGGATATAAAAGGAAACAAACAGAGATAGAGTACTCCATCTCAAGTTTGCTCTCTTATCATGGAGTCCGAAGCTGCCACAGCCTCGCCTGTTCTGCACATACTCGACGACAGTACGCGATCAGGCGAGACGGAAACAGTCAAGAATTACTTCCCTCCCTCCATTCCAGGTTGTTTCCGTCTGAGCCTCCCATGGAATGGCGTCGAGGACTGCGCAGGACAAAGCGAGTCACCTCCTCGGGCAAGAAAGGAGCGCGAGCGAAGATTTGGGAAACCAGGCCGAAGACTGGAAGGCAGCGACGGGACCCTGATTTGTGTCAGTAAATGAATCTCAACATCCTACATCCGTTGCAGGCGAGAAGAGAGGCGAGGATTTCCGGAGCTTTTGCGGGTCTGAGATTTCGTGATTATCCCACTCACTCCTTTCGCTCGAAGAATCAGAGGGGGCTCATACATCGCTCGAGGAAGCCATAGCCCGCTCACGAATCCGCTTCCATGCTTCAGGATCGAGCCAAGTTCGAGCGATCGAGCTTCAATTCTCGAGGACGGTGCGCTAAGGAGGAGCAAGCGGAGAAGGCGAGCAGCGAAGAAGGCCTCGGGATCTGCAGAGGACGCGTCGGGGCTCGGTGCAGCCTCGGCAAATGCCCGAGTCTGGAGTCGATGGCGCCTGAGGAAGAAAAAGAACGCCGCCAGTCAGGACAATGCTCTAGAATTCCTGCGTAACGTCGTTCGAATGACTGGGAGATGAGTTCCGGAAGTCGGATAGCTTTCTCTATCCCCATTCGTCCATAGATACAACCACGAAGGCTTAGTATTCATCCGTTTGAGTGAGACTGCAGTGTGTAACAGCAGTCTCTTCGTTTCTCGTACAAATCTGCGCGATCAGGCTTCTTACTCATATTAGCTAGGCTGATTGAGGTACACATCTCGCCAAAAAAGAAACGAACAGATGAACCGGACTCCACATTCACTGTCCCGGTCCTTGTACATCAGTACATTTGGCTGATAAGTGTACAAGCGCAATCAATCTGTATTTTGTGGTAGCTAAGGCGGCTGAGTGAACGGAATGTATTCACAAGGATCAGTCAAATAATAATTCTAACGGCATGTCCATGACCTTGACCTTGTTTCGCAAACTTTGGATCACGCTCTGAGCTTGCCCTGTTAGACTACCGGCCTTATCCTTCACTGTCTCGACCGCCATTCAGATTCCCGGCAGCTTCAGAAACAAATCCACCAGCTCTGCTCTGCTCCGAGCGCCGCTCGCTCGGCTCCTGGACACACTATGCCCTGTCTTCGGCACAGAAGAGGACCGAGTGAGTCGATCTGCACCTTGGATCTAACACTGTTGTCAAGCGCGAGCACTTCAAAGCTTCCAGCGGATGCCAATCTGATAATCCTAGAGGAACAACTTGGTAGCTCAGTCTGCACTCAGAGAGCGAATGCATCATCCCCCCTTGCATCGCAGGCGGAGAGTGCAGGAATGGAGATCCTATGGGATCGAAGAAGTGAAATAGTGTTTAGATAAGCTGCTAATTCACAACTATACAATGAGAGATTGCGATCTGGAAGCATATGAGTTGGCTTTCATGATGGATAGCGAGCGTCGTTGCCTGCGCGCAGTCTACGGAGCACGACTCAAACTGCAAACCATCTATAGCAGCAGTCCAGGTCATACCATGCAGCACTGTACTTCACGGGCCCCGCGACCGGCTGCAACTAATCAACCTGGGCTGGATACGGGACAAGCATGTTAAATCTCAACTCCTTCCTCGTGCTCAACCTGAAGCATTAAACTCCCATGGAAGGCAAAACGCAATAATTTTTTTCTCATGCGAAAAATGAAACACAGTGGAAAGAATTACGGGAATTTGGACTAGATATGACCTCCAGCCAAGCACCAACCATATGACTTCACAGCAGCACCAACCACTTCTGTTGAAATTTGAAATCTGTTCAAGAATGACTATTTATATTGCATTGTAAACATGTATGACGATGAATTTCGTGGCGACGAGACATTATCCTCCATGAAGCATGTACGCAATTTGGTGTTGATGTAGTGCACCAGCCTTAGTACTAGATAGCGTTTAAGGTTACTTCATGGGTAGGGTTTTTCACTTGTTGCTTTGACTATCGGAGGAACGCCATCATCTGGAGCTGTAGTTTGCTCTTCATTGTGTTTCGATTCTATATGTTTTCATTCCTTGTGTTCAATTTCATTGTGCAATCATCATGGTATTATAGGAGACTCATCCTAGGTTTAAGCCTTTGAGCTTTGTGTGTAAACTATGCTTCACACATCTACAATTATTACTATGAGCATTGCTCCAATAATTGTAGTCAGACCTTTTTGCAACTTGTTGTGTAGAGTAGCTGCAGTTTTATTTTACTCCTTTCATTTATAGATGATCTTGCCAATGTCAACATTCAATGTTTCATTGCCAGACTCCAACAAGCTTGTGGGATCTATCAACTATCACAACTGGAAGATTCGAGTGACTAATTATCTAAAGAAAGAGAGTGTATGGGATGTAGTCGCTCCTTTGATTGTTTTCACTCATGATAAATCAATTGATGTACGGGCCATCATTTGTATCTGCTGCGGCGACCTATGAAGGAGTAGTTATCGACAATGAAGTCATTGCAGCTCCAACTTTTGAAAGCTCAACAGGAGAGTTTGCGACTACGGTGAATGACCCTGATCTGTCTTATCGTTGTGATAAGGCAATGTGGGTCCTCATCGTATTGGTTAAATTGACTTGGTAACCAAGATAAGTGAATTTGAAGATCCCAGAGACGTATGAAATCACTTGCACAAGTTGTACGAGGTACGTGATTTTACAAAAAAACTTCATTTCAAGAGTTAGCTTATGAGTCATGAAAGATGATGTCATAGAACAATATCTTTGTGAGTTCAAAATATTTCCCTCATGTAATAACCCACCAAAGCTAAAATTGCAATATAGTGGTAGAAAGGTTGAACCCACAGGGACAGAGGCAACACACAGAGTACAAAGTGTCACATTCAACAGACTATTGAAGAGTTTGAATTCTCAAGCGATTGTCACTCCCAGAAATACTGCAAGTGTTCACTCGGAGATCACTCGGAGGTCGCACAGTGCAGCGTAGTTCACTCAACACACACACACACCTGAAACTATAGAAATACAACTCAGAGATCGGTTAGGACCTCTACTTAAGATTTCAGGGGGAAAGTCTCTAGCGAGTACACTCAGCGAATCTGTAGGTAGTGACTCCCAACTCCGGCTTTTACAACCCTTCCACTAGTTTCTGCTAGCGTAGGGCACCCGGGTTGGACTTGCTACTTCGGATGCGGTATCTTCGTCAAACCGAAGTCACTCACACGCGGTGAACAACACACTCAACTCACAAAACGCGCAGAGAACACAGGTCCAACTGAGAGACTCAACTGAGAAAAGATCCAGCAGCACACCATAACAGTCTATTGAAGAGTTTGAATTCTTAGGCACTTGTCATTCCCAGAAATACTACAAAGGTTTGCCCCGAGGCACCTGCTGCAGCGTAACCTGAATTACAATCAAGGCTTACTCGAAGTAACAAAACTTCACTTTGGCATTCAGGGGAAAAATCTCGAAGGAGTACAATCAGGATCAATCACCCGAAGGTGTAGGGATGAACTGTTCAAGTATCTAACCAGTTACTAGCTCTGAGCATTCAGCAATCACCCGCAGGTGTAGATCCAAACTACTCAAGTATCTAACCAGTACACTGGCTCTGAACATTCGGCCGAAGGCCTTCAGCTACAAAATGCGGTATCTTTGTCAAGCTGTAGCTACTCTTGCGAGGTGACAGAACTAAGGGCACAAACACGCAGAGAAAACGAGTTCTTGATCTGCACTTCCAAATCTGGAAAAATCCCAAGGCAAGACGCCTTGAACTACTTTATACCTTCTAAGTCCTAACTAATACTACACGCTTGCACGAAACCACGCTACGCCGCTGCACTCTGCAGATCCTGTACTGCGCCTTCTGCTCGACGGACTGCCGCGCATTAACTCCCTATCCGACTAGTCTTCCGCTCGACTGCGCAAGCCTAGCCGCCGTAACACCGCAGTCACCTCCGTCTCGAGGGTTGCCATGGCGTCCCGCGACCTTGACATATACGCATCTAACTTCTTCGCCACTCGCCGCCGGCTCCGACTGTCACCCGACATCAAGCCCGCCGCACGAAGCTCTAACTCGCGCAATGTGAGTTTCTCCTGCGCAGCCACTTCCCAGAGAGTGTAACCTCTAAGACAGTGGTTGACTCGCATCACCAACTCTTCCTTCGTGCAATCTGCCTCTCGCCGGCGATCGTCTTCAACCACTACCAACTGCAACTCTGCGTCCGCACGCTGCGCTCTCAATTCATCGCACTCCGATTGCAGTTTGCGGATTAACTCTTCATCCGCCTAGCGTGCGAGTTGACACAGCTCCAGCAACTGTGTCTGCCGCACGAGCTCTTCTGACAAAATTTGATTTTGAGTCTGCTCAGAATCCAGCTCATCTGCGAGCTTCGCTTTCTCCTTGGCGAACTCCTTCTTCGTCTCCTCAAACTGCTCATCGCGCTCCTTGTCGACGGCCTTCTGCACCTTCCGCAAAAGAACAATGTGGCCTCGCAGGTGCTCATTCTTCTCCCGCAATTCTTTAATGTCCCCATCCATGCGTGCCAACAACTTGCTAGTGCGGACTTTAGTGCGAGTCCGCCTGCGCACTAACTCGACGTAGGACCCAGGCTTCCGTGGGTCTGCATACTTCGTCACCTTGCGTTCGAGATACCTCAGCAGAGGTACCACCTGTTCGCATAGTGCCGCCGTCGGCGTGCCTGCCACCGATTGCTCCTCCTCCTCGTCTGATCCCGATTCTCCTTCTTCGTCATCCTCCGAATTGAGGATTTCGGTAGCCACTGAATTCCCTGGCGATTCTCGTTAGTGGGGCTGAGTAGCGTCTGCGTCGTCTGCTGCTGCTGCTGCCGCTGCTACCTCACTGCTCCCGGCCAAAATGTCTAAGGCGGTGGGGGATTTTGGTTGTGACAAGCTCGCACCGCTTGCCCGACCTGTTACAACCAACTCCGCATCGCCGAAGGCGTCCACCACCAAAGGCGTGTGTGCGGAAGGTGTTTGTGCGGAAGGCAATTGTGCGGAGTGCACACGTGCCTCCGCCTTCTGCTTGTCATCCCGCTCCTTCAATAGGTCCTGCTCTGAAGGCGTCTTCGCCGAAGGCGGCTCGCCCGAAGTCTCTTGGGCCGAAGGCCCTTGAGCCGAAGGCGCACCTTCCGGCGGTCCTACCGCCGAAGGCGCTTGCCCCGAAGGCTCCCTACTTGCAACTCCTTGGGCCGAAGGCCCTTGAGCCGAAGGCCCTTGAGCCGAAGGCGCTTGAGCCGAAGGCCCCAGCCCCGAAGGCGAGTCTGCGAACGGTGCTCGCGCGGAACATCTATCCGTTGTCGGCACGTTCGTCGGTGCCGCGTGTCGTCCCTCTTGGCCCGAAGGCCGTCTTGCTTCCACCGAAGGCGTCCGTGCCTTCGGCGTAGAGAGGTCCGCTGACCCCTCTGCCGAGTGTCGTGTTCCCATCCTCCTCCGAGGATGGTGATTCCTTCTCTCCGGCGGCACGCCCTGTCTCCGCGCTACTTGCAGGCAACACGAGCCTGCGTGCTTTCTGCTTCGGCCGACTACAGAGCTCGTGTAGTGGCCGCTTCCGTTTGAGAGCAGCCGAATTGCGATGTTGGCTCTTCTCTGCTTCTCCCTTCCATCTCCGCTTCCGCGGCACTCGCGCTGCGAATGATTCTCCTCCCGCTCTCGGTTGGGCTGGTGGCGTGGAGGCAGGAGTCTCTTCCTCGTCGGTGTCAACCTCAACGTCCTTCACATACCGCCCGGGATTGCTGAGTGTCAGCAATGGAAACTGAACACGCTTGGTCGCGGTTAGACAACCCATCGACCGATAAAAATTGATCAAGAAGGGGGAGAACTGATTAATCGATCCCCCTTTCTCCTCAAACGCATGCTGCCGCGTTATTTTCCATAAGATGCGAGCCCAGTGAATTGGAGCTCCGACCAACGCCAGCTCCACGAAGTACACTTGCCAAGAAGTGATGTAGGTGGTCCTGTGCGGCTGCAAGAGTTGGAGAAGTGCTACCGCAACATTTCTGCGGTAGCGATCCTTGTAGTCCCGGGTCTTGTACCCGTTCTTGCTGGACTTGGCACTCTTGAACAGGGTCGCGAAGGAAATCTCCTCCTACTTCGTGACCTTGATGCTCTCGCTATCGAATATGAGATGTCCGTCCTCTCCCGCACATCTTCCCAATACCTGTTCCCAGTCCTAGATAGTCCATCGCTCTACGTGCGGTCGAAACCCGCGCGTAGGTTGGTCTCTCTCCTTCTGCCATTCGCGCACCATGTCTTGGCACACGTAATTCCATCCTCACAGGAGGAAATCGAGCTTCACCGCAGACAGCTGGTGCTGGAAAGCGCGCAGCCCAATCTGCGGAAGCTTCAGCGGAATCATCCGCAGCTGGGTTGCTTTCGACATCGCATTCTTGAAATCGCACTTCGCAAACTCTCCTCTGCTATGCCCAAGCTTCTTGCCCGCGGATGCGATCCATCTGCAAACTCTACTCTCACTCAATTTCCGCAGTCGTGCACTCAATTCTCCCTCTGCTAACTTGCAAGTCTCTGCGCGTCGCCTTATCCTCGGATTTCTCTTTGCCAGAATGCGTGCGCGCGCAGCTCTCACGAGAAATCGAAATCGCAAATTCAAGAATGAGTCGCTCGCCCTCGGCTCACAAGATTTCATTGTCGACACTTGGTCGTGAGTGTCGACTCACTTGATGGCTGCGCCGGCTTAAAGGCGTAACGGCATGCTCGACTTCACGCTTCGCCGTTGCGCGGACTCACACGCTCAAAAATTGAATTTGATTTCTACCATCGTACTTCGCCGCGACCGTGTTCGCGCAGCGCCGAAGGCGCGGCGG